TTTTACAGACTACGCAATTTACACTAAATAGACACTGCAGAAAGAATCCACAGAGCAGGACCAGAACCTGGAATATCCCCTAGGGTTTCTTAAGGCTTTCAACGCTCTATGACCCTGTTATTTTCCAACATGGACTAAGCTGTGGTGATTTTATAAAAATAGGATAAAGCCAACTTGCATGTTTGTTATTCCCAAGATTTTAGAATCCACAGAATGAGGCATTTATGCTACTGCTGCAGTTATTTCATCAATAATTTGGACATATGAATTTTACATTGTTCTTAACATRTGAATATAAATGTATTGTTACTGAAAAGCCTTCAAGGCAATATTCTAAAGGCATTCCAAGATAACAAAACCTTTCTAACTAAAATAAAATAACCCCAAGAAGTTTTTAAATGGGCTTACAGGTGTGGATCAGCCATTGTGTATTCCATCTGCTGCCTTCCTAATTCCAGCCTTTTGGCTTCACTGGAAGAAAACAAACAACATACAGTAAGATAAAAATATTTCACCACATAAAGTCTCCAAAGGCCAGAACTAAGGGGTTTTGGGGTTTTGCAGAGCACAGCCCTTGCTGGCTTTGCTGGAAGTTACTGACTCATCTGCCAGCCCGGCTCAGCACAAAACAGAACACTGCACATGCCTTTACCTCTCTCTTTGTTCCTCGCTGGAACAGGACTGTTGGAAAGGGAAAAGACACCAGAACCTCCACCATGGGACCCACCAGACAGCCAGAGACCCCAGAAAGCCCAGGAAAGGCTCTGAAGCCAAAGATGGRCAGTCCCCAAGCTCATCCCTCCCTTTCTTCCCCCACAATCCCACAGCAGACCCCCTTCCATGCACTTGGCTGGAGCTGTTCCCAGCACAGCGCCCCAGAAGCTACCACAGGGATGGATTAGAACACACTTCCAAAACCCTCCAAGTCTGCCCAGCTCATGGACCCCACATGCCAGCCAAGTGTTTTATTTAGGAATTGAACTTGAAATCAAGCCCCTATTTCCCTCTTGGCATCTAAGCCACATCCTCCTAGAGGCAGGTGAGCCCCACCTGTCAGCACTGCTGCAGGAACAAGTGTCCACCAGGAATTCTGGAGCTGGTGAAAATCAGTGGGACCATTGGAACTGCCCAGAGCAGTGCCAGGGCATCAGGCATGGGATGGACTGATGCTGAACCTCAAACTCCACACCTCACCTAAAACCATCCCAGAGGGAAGGTGGGTTTGGGAACAGAGTAAAGCGGCCACTATTTAATAGTTCCAAATTGTGCCTGAGAATGAGTAACCATCCCAAAATGAGCAAAATACAGGAAATAACCAGGAGAGGCTGCCAGCTGATTCACACTGCAATCCMTGGCCCAAGCAAAGCCAAAAGCCAAGTTCCTCTTCAGAAACAGTATCAGGCTTTCAGTTAGATGGGAAGATGGAGGAGTGATGGGGACACATCATTGTGTCACACATCCCAACACATCTGGGCACACTTATCCGTGGATTTGGGCTCTCCCTACACACACACACAAGAGACACCTCCTCCCAGTTTCCCGGCAGAGGAAAGCCAGGAAAAACCCTTCCTGCTGCTCTGCCTGAGAGATCAAGGCATCTGTTTTAGCCACRTGATCGTGCCAGCGCCTGGAGCAGGATTCGTGTCATGTACACAATTTAACAGCCACGCTTCATCTGGGATCTCATCCCATCAATTTCCTCTTACACCACTAACAGCCAAGCAAACGCAGATTTCAAGATCTTGTTTTTACACTTCTCCAAGTAATTTTCCTGCCTCGGTGGAGAACACCGATATCCTGAGGGATGGAGAAGCCAATGAATGGCCGAAACGGTCATTGGCTCCCATCCCATTTCTCACTCCCCCATCCTGCAGGTAGCACACTGCATTCCTCAGCTCCCCAAAGTCCATTTCCGCACCACCAGYGAGATTTTTCAGCATCCCACTGGTCAGTCTTTCGAAGCCATTCAAGCAGCACAGGGATACCCAGGGAAGGTCTCCTGGAGCAGGGCACAACAGAACAAACTCTTTCAGGCAGGAGCTTCTTGGCATYGGAGCATCCCCTGGGGGATTCTGAGCTCAGCTCTGCCCAGGGCCCACCCAAACCCACCTGGAGATCTGCCCACCCAGGTCTGGCACARTTCCTTTGGTCAGGGCACAGGTGAACCTCAAGGCACTACCAGGATTGGCCTGGCCACTGCACTGCACCACCACCTCCTTCTTCACAGGGAAAAGCCAAAGCCCTCTGCCTGAAAATGTTCCTGCAGTTCTGGGTCAGGTTAAAGCAGCACAAAGAGTCAGAAACTCTKTATCACCTTGCACAGCACACAGACCCCCTGAAGCTGCAGCACGCAGGCACTTCCATGTTTAGGCTGGACAAGGCACGAGCATTAGGAAATAAACCCTGACCAGCAGAGTCTGATAAGTAATTTAAGAGCTAATTAGGTGTTGTTGCAAAAGTGTCAGGGTGGTCCACTGATCAGGAGCTGAATCTCCAGTSACTGATTCCTTAGCCCCTTCAGAACTCAGATATTGAAGGGAAAAAGAAAAAGAGATTGATGAGAACAGAGGGGAAAGAAGCATCCTTGAGAAGCCCTCGGAGCTCACCAAGCCAGACAGGGACAGAACCGAGCAGCAGCTTCCCCACCACATCCCACCTCCCGCACACTCCCAGGGGCCATCCTGTGCCTGAGCCCAGGAGCACGGGAGCAAGGGAAGCCGAAATGCTCCAGCAATTTAACAGAAGTTCTGTATATTCACACTTCACAAAGCTGCTTARAGGTACCACTGCAAGGCGCTCCGAAGAGGCAGCTCCTCTGCAGAGCTGCCCGGGACCCCCAGCCCCTCCGAGCCCCCATCCCCACGGACACTCGCGTTTCTCCTGAAGCTCCCAGCAAGGGGAACACCGGCGGTGACTTTTGTTTAGAGAAGAGCAAGGCTCCCGCAGGAGAAACCTGCCCGCGTCCCCTCCGCCAGCGGCGCTCGCCGAAAGAAACGAAGGGGGTGCGATCCCAGCAGAGCTCCAGGGGSCCCTGCCCAGCACAGCCCCAGCCAGGGCGGGGGGTGACGGCGGCGCCCCGGCTGAGCCCCGGCCTGTCCCCTGCCCGGGGCGAGAACCGAGCCCCAACCGCCCCGCGGGGGGAGCCGGCTCACCTGTGGCGGGGCCGAGCGGTGCCGGAGGGTGCCGGGGGATGCCGCGGTGTCGGTCCCATCGGTTCCCGATCCCATCGGTTCCCGATCCCATCGGTTCCCGGTCCCATCGGTTCCCGATCCCATCGGTTCCCGGTGCCGCCGGCCCCGCGCACTTTCCGCCGGTGCCCACGTGCGGCTCCCGCCGTGCCCCGCGCCGGACCCCGGAAGTGCCGCCCCGCGTTGCCATGGGGACGGGGGCGCGGCCTGCGCCGCCAGGAGGCGTTTTAGAATCCTTTAAGGCGGCTTTTTTCCCCCGTTATTTATTATTATCCCGTATCTCACCACCACGTTGTTACCTCACGTATTGCTGTTTGTGCTGGAAGGCACCTGGGACGGGGCAGGATCCGTGTCCCTGGAAAAGGGGGAAATTTGTAAAGCGCCAATTCAAAACCTAACTGGGAGCTGCTGAACAGTTTCCAGCAGGGCACCTCCGCACCCCCCCGCCCCAGCTGGTTTTACTAATTTATTGTACACTACGGTTTTCAAGAAAGAAAAACCTGATTCCTTGTCCTCGGAATGCCGCTGTGTCCCTCTGGTGCTGTCACCTCTCCAAAATTCATATGGGAGAAGCCACTAGCCCTGCGTTAACATCTCCAGCTGGGGAATGAAAACAAAACCCCTGCCTTTCATTTCCAGATAAAAACTCCGAGCCCTTTGAAAGGTAGTTGCCAAATGAGCACTTAAATTCCAGGGCCTCAGTAAAGTCTGAATACCACGGGAGTAATTGAAATGAAGGAGAAGCGATACATCAATAGACAAAATTGCGGACAGCGATGAAATGCTTAAGCATAATTAGGACAGCAATCAGTGTACAATTAGTGCGAGATCATCACAGTAATTACCCTTAGAACTTCTGGCCAAGAACCCACACATGAAAGCTCAGCTGGAGCTGGGGATGTGCCCTGGACTCGGGGGGATCGGGAGCTTTTGGGGTTCCYAGGCTGGGTTTGGTGATGCARMAGCCTTCCTGGTGTTCCCAACACATGCAGCCTCCAGCTCGGCTCCACGGATTTAAACACAAAGTAAAAAGCTCTGTGGAATGATAGTGGGACCCAGYTGTCCCCAAATCAGCCTGGCTCCGATGCTGCGTGTCCATGTAAATACCCGGCTCAACAAGGTATGRAAGGCTTGGACTCAGGTCAGAGCTTTACCGCTCCAGGAATGCCCAGCAGAGGATGTGCAGATTCAGCAGCCTTTCAGTACTGAATTCCCATAAAATGCACTCATCATAGAGACTATTCTATCTCCATCTTCTATTTAGTGAAAGTAAAGATGCATTTTGGAGATCTCACTCACACCTTCAAAAGAGCCCACAGGTGAACTCTGGACCTGCTTTCAAAAATATTTGTGCTTGCTAAAAGAACACCTAAAACAGTAGAGAACTTGCAAGTGCTTCCAGCAAAGTCTAAAGTCCTGAGCACACTGGAACCTTTATTTCCAAATAGTGTTTTGGTGGGAAGAGGCTGATCCCTGACACATCAGGCTGCACAATTTGTCTCCCAGGCAGCCCTGGGAGGGTTTTTTTTCACCATGGACCTCAGCCTGGGGCTTGAGGGTGTTGAACCACAGGCAGGGCTCAACATCTTGCTATTTATTAAAAAAAAAATAAGGAAATAAGAAACCTTAGCGTGGTCCCTGCGATGTGTTTCCCACTTTGTTCCGTGTCTCGGTGCTCACTGCAGTCCACGGGCTCATAATTGACTCAAGAATAATCTCAATCTCCATCATCCCATCCCTGATAAGGAATGTGGTCCCTTCCCTGAAAGCCTACAAAGAGGAGTGTTTTGTTTGTGTTCTCCCGGTAGTACTTCACACTTCTTTTAGATTGTTTTAATTTAATTTTGATGTAACCTGATAAGAGATGTGAAACTGYCAAAGGAAGCTGCCTCCTTCTGTCGCATTAAAATACACTTTGAATGAAATGGTGGCTTTGTCCCCAGTAGCTGCTAAAGCAAAGCATCTCTTGATTCCAGTGCAGGGACCAATGAGCGCTAATCTTAACAGCTTTCCACTGTTTTTCATTTAGGGAGGCAGCCACGCGTGCTTTAGCATCCTGCTTTCCTCTGGGGTGTAACAATATCCCAAAAGGTGTGGGACTGGCCTCAGGGAGTTGAACACCTGGCCACTGGCCTCACACCTGCCAGAGACACCAGGCAGGGCTTCCCAGTTTTCCAGGGCAATGCATCCACGTRCTGCACATGCCTGCTGCAGGAAGGGGCTGCCCCTCGGTCCCAGAAAAGTGGGAAACTGTGTACAGAGCAGGAATTCTTGGTGTCCTTGGTAGGATGTCATGGGACATGCCAGCAGATGTGGGGTGACACATTGCTCTGGAAAGGGATTTGCAGAAACACAGGGATGTGTTGGGAAGAAGTTTCCCTCTCTGTGCTTGATCTCTGGGAGCACAGTGAGCTCGCTCACGAGTCAGGGCAGAGCTGAATGCATTGGCTTTTCTTTTTCTCAATTAGACACATAACACAGGCCCTGGTAGCTGTGTGAAAACATACAGAGAATTTACATAATGCCCAGTATAAGCCCTTTTTGTTAATGACTCAAGTCCCAAACGTCGAGCACTAATAACACACCAGGAAGCAAAGAGCAGTAAGAGCAGTGAGCGATCTCAGCAGAGCAGTTCTCAGGATCCATTTCCTGTCAGTAGCAATGCCTGGAAACAGTAATTATTGTGTTGAATTTAATGTTTCCATTTTAATACATTTAAATGTAATAAAATGCTTTTATTARGTGTTACAGTTCCTTGAAACCTGTTATTATTTGTTTCTGATGCCCAAGCAGCCCACATCACGTCTGGCCTCAGATCTGCTGCCTCGGGGCAGGTGAGAGTTCCTCCAGCAGGAACCTGGAATGCAGAACCCGTGGGCTGAGTAAACAAAAATMTGGAGACTGCAGCAGTTGAAAATATGTAATATTTATTAAAAATGCAAGGGCCTTAGCCAAAGCCTGGTGACATAATTGAAAAGCTCCGAGGCATGTCACTGTAGATTTTGAATGAATCTTGGAAAACTGAGATATAAGCACATACCATTGATATTAATGAACCCCAGAAAAGGCACRGGGAAGGGCCTCGTTTAGAGATCATTTGCTCAGAAGCCTCCCTCCTTCTCCAGCCAATTTCATGGGCTTTTCCAGTGTCCTCTGTGGCTCCACGAGTAGAAGAGAGCAGGTGTGGCCTCACTGAGGCTGTTCCAAGGCCAAGCATCCAGAGAGGATGTCAGGGARATTTCAGGTCTCAGTCACTCCTGTGACCAGGCTGTAAACACGAAGAGTCTCCATTCAAGTGTCTGCTGCTGTCTGAAGAGGAAAGAGGAGATTGACAGTGTTGAGTTTCCCTGTCCCTGGAGAAATGAGGACTGAATTTAGGTTTTCTGAGACGTGAGCCCTGCGGCTGAATTCGAACCAGACCACTCACAGCCAAAGGGCTCAACTCCTGTCTTCTCTGAAAGCATTTACACCTCACAGTCAGGAGCGCCCTGTGCCACAGCTCATTTAACTTGTGTTCCTCAAGCTGAACCAGTTCTGGTGTATTGCTGTTCAGGAAAGAGTACTTTGGAATGTTTCCCTCTGGCCTGCAGTGACCAGACAGCAAGCAGGAGAAATGGCTCACAACGCACGGCCAAGCTCAGTGCCACAAGTGCCCCTTGAGGTCCCATGGCTGGGCAGACCGGGGTCCTGCTCAGCTGCAGCCTGACCCAAGGTGCCACAGCCTGACACTATGCAGAGCGTGCCACACACGCCACCAGCTCCACTCCTTACAGATCYGGGATGGAGAACATCCCTCTGGCTCTCAGGACTCCACATGCCTGACTGTCCCATTGCCGGCTCTGCACCCAGAGCACGCAGCCACAGTTCCCAGCACACAATATCCTACCTTGCCTTCGGTGTGCTGGCTCCTGCACCAAGCCATGTTTTTCCAGGATCCTCTTTCAGGAGAACGGCACCTTCACGGCCACGCTGTTCCCTGCGCCTTTCACTCCACAGCTCCTGCCAGCAGGGCTATGGCTTGGCCGGGGCACTCCATYCTGCTTGAGCTCATTGCTTGCTGTTGCTGCTGCTGCTGCTTTAAAGGACACAGATCTATCAGGCTCCTTCATTAGTGTTTTAGCAAATGACTGGATTGATCTCATGTACTGACYGAAAGACTGAAAAAGTTTCGCTTCTACAAGTCATGAAAAATTAAAGGGAGAATATAAAATAACTGCAGAACTGTTTTAACTGAATTTGATGTTTTTCTTTCAGGCCCACAGTTTAGAGCAATCAGTTCTGAAGAGCTGCTGCTTGTATCCCTGTCAGGATGAGGCATTCGGACAAGGTGGAAAACCTGGAGGATCCCAACTCTAGGCTCAAAAGGATGTGTGTGGCCCATTGTCTGGTTTGATTAATGAGGCCTTTGCACAGTGAGATAATGCCATGTTTGCTGTGCTGGGAACACTGCTGCGCAGCGCAAATATCACAACCATGAAGAATATTCAATATGATAACGACAGCAATAAGCCAATCTATGGATGACTGGATTCTGCCCAAAAATGCCTCAAATTATATTTGTTTGTTTCCTAATTGTCAGCCACTTTGATGCAGTYGTTGGGTTCAACAAGTGCTCCAGGCTCCAAGGGTTTGAAACAAAGAGAGGCACTCGGGTGAGCCGTGCAGTTTGTGGGGCCAGGAACCAGGATCTGGTAGCACAAGCAGCRGGGTATAGCTTTTGGGACAGACACACTGACTAACATGGGTCCCTGGAGGATCCCTCGCCTCCTCACACCCCAACACTCAAATTCTCACTCAAGTCTCACCTGGGGCAATTTCTGCACACTGCCTCTCCCAGTCCTCAGTCCTGTGAAATCCACTTTTGAGTGGACATGGTATTTTTCACTTGCCACTCCAAACTACTGTGCTGGTTTGCTGTGACTTATTAGGCACTCCTGTCCTGTGAAGAGGATTTTTCTGGTGGTGAATGAAAGGATCCACACATACAAATTGTTCATTTGTTTGAAAAAAGCAGGAGAACAAGCACACTATTGAATTAATTAAGCTCTGTCTGCTTAAGAGTTCAGCAGCCCTGGGCCCTGCATTCCACTCAGAATATGCCAGGCAGAAACTGGAATCTGAAGCTGACAAAAAGGCATGAGCAGAGATATAAAAATCCTCCAACAGTGCATTCTGACAGAACTCAAAAATGCGTTTTTAATGTCCCTGCAAGGCAGTGTGGGGCAAACACACAGGCGGGCAAAAATTGGGTGCCAGGCTTCAGGTCCCAAATGTTTTGYCCGTTTGCAGGCACACAAACCCTACCAGCCTCTCAGGGGTGTGACCTGTGCCCTGGTTTCATCAGGACCTGACCCCGAGGATTCTCTTCCTGCKGCTCCCCGCAGYGATCCCCCTTGTTCAGCACAGCCAMCTCCCGCTGTTACCGGTCCAGGGCAAGCCCTGGCCCCGGGCGAACACAGAGCTGCACTAGCCAGGACACTCCTGAGCGCTCCAGCCCGGAGTCTCGCTCCGTCAATACTCGCATTATTTCTTTTGCAGGAGCGCGTTTGTTCTCTGTGCCCGAAGTGCCGGAGACGTGCCGGGGACGCGCTGCCCGCCCGGGCGAGGGGCTGACAAAGAAAGGCGAAAAGGGAAAAAGCCCCATCTCTGCACCCGCAGCTCCGCGAACCCTGGTCACTCCACGGATGCCCCGATGGAATTCGGGGGAGCTGCTGCGGGGCCGCCGCTCGCCTCGGCGCAACATACCSGGAGCGTTCGGTCCCCGCTGCCGCRGCGGCCACGGATCGAGCCCGRACCTCCCGCCCCAGGGACCCCCGGCCAGGTAGGTGCTGCTGGTTTCGGTTCCCTCCCCTCCCGCTCACCGCCTTCCGTCCCCTTAGATCTTCCCCTGTCGTCTCCCTCGAGCCACTGAATTCCGGCCATTTCACCAACGGGCAGCGCCTCGGGCAGCGCCGGCGGCAGCGGGGCCGCCGCTCCATCCCCAGCGCGGGGATTTAGAGTGAAGCCGCCCCTAATCCGGCCGCTCCTCCAGCGGCTCCGGGCGCACGGGACCGACCGCAGGCAGCAGTGACCGCAGGCAGCAGTGACCGCAGGCAGCAGTGACCGCAGGCAGCAGTGACCGCAGGCTGCAGTGACCGCAGGCAGCAGTGACCGCAGGCTGCGGCTGTCGCGCCCCGCGGGTGACCGAGCGCGGCGGTGCCGGGGCCGGGGCTGCGGGAGGTCACACCGGACCCGGCAGCCTAGGGGGAAGAGAGGGAGCAGGGTCCGCTCGGAGAGCGGCTGCCCGCTGGGGCAGGGAAGGGGCCGAGTTTCCTTTCCCCGTCCCCCCGCAGGTTGCTTACCTGGGCTCCTGGCTGGACTCCCTCGCCGGTGTTGCCGCTCCCGCYGAGGCACGGACCGGCAGCAGCCATAGGGAATTTAGGGTCTTCCCGAAACCCTTCCCGAGGGGGGTCAGTGCCGGGGATACCTCCCTCCAGCCCCGGGATCCCCCCGGTCCTCCCCCCGTATCGATTCCAGTCCGGCGCTGGCAGCGTTTAGGCCGGGATTGGGGGATAATGGGAATATCATCTGGAGACAATTACCTTTGGAGCGCGCTCGCTTCTCCTCCCAGACACTGTTATTTGAGCAATAGGATCATTTGATTTCATATCGCACTAAATAACCCCCGGCCGCCGCAAATTGCCGCCTTCTCAACAGCCACCCCTTGGAATAAATTGCACAGCGACTCCTTGGGCTCTGGCTTCTTCTTCTTCTTTTTTTTTCTTTTTCCCCTTATTTCCNCCCCCCCTTTTTCTCCTCTGCAGAATAGTATTTCGGGATAAGCAGGGACGGAGGCCCGATGCTGGTGGATAAACTGCATCCAGCAAAGCTCCAGCTCCCTTTAATAAGCCAAGCAGCCAAGCCCTACCCGCGCCGGTTTTCCTCGTGTTTTTCTCCCCCTCCCTCATCTTTTTTTTCTTTCTTTCGTTCTTTTTTTTCTCTCTTTTTTTTCTTTTTATCTTTTTTTTCTTTCTTTCGTTCTTTTTTTTCTCTCTTTTTTTTCTTTTTCTTTTTTTTTTTTTTTTTCCTTCTCCCCTTTTAAAGCAGTTTTTTCCCTGCCGGGTCCCACCGATGCCAAGGCTCGATGTGCCTTTAAGGCTCTGTCAGCGCTCGCCTGATAATCTGGTCATCGCCGGCCTCATTAGATCCATATTAATGTCAGCCACGGATTGCTAATTAGATTTGCGGGATAAATGAAATTACCCGAGTGGGCTGCGTGGGAGGGGGAGTGCAGTCTCCCAGAGCTTCCCAGGATTTATGAGGAAAAAAAAAAAAAAGAAAAATAAAAAGGAAAGACATAATTTTACTTTCGTCCTTTTCTCCCCTCTTTCCCCTCCTGCCCCTTTAGTCTCATGCCCTCCTCGGGCTCCCCTCTGATAGCCACTATCCAAGGAATTCCCCAATCTGCTCCATAACTGGAACTGGGGGTTTTGCTTCTCTATTCCTGTGCYAAAAGAGCCCATCGGTGCTGCAGCGAGCGCTCCTTGCCGAGGGATCCTGCTCGTGTTGGATTCATGGATCTCAGGGAGCAGCTCTGGGGTGAACAGCACTACATTGCTGGGGTCTCACAGGGGTCAAGGGAGAGACCCATGGCATTATTCATCCTATTTATTTATCCTTATTAGAAAATGGGATGAAAGGACAGAGCCGGGCATCTTCCTTCAAGCACCGGCTGAGCAGCGCACACACAGCCCCAATTAAACACTGCCCGGACGAGGCCTTTCTCCATATTAGAAACCCAGCTCTGTTTAACGAGGACCAATTAAATCCTGCTTCATTTTACCTGGGATCTCACAATACACGTGACAACAAATTCCCTTTCTTCTTCCCTGGTAATTACTGGCAGAATCAGCCCCACTGTCAGGGCAGAAAGCCCTCCCCGATAACCCACCTGAACCCCAGCYAGATCCCAGTGGAGCAAGGGGTCCCCTCCTGACCCCAACCCAACCAAAACCCACCCCAGATGAGCCTGAGCCTCCAGTCCTGTCCCACTGCAACCCAACATGGTGCTGGCAGAGTGGGGCTCCTCCTAGGGAAGCATGTAGAGCTATTCCAGCCCAGCTCTGGCCTCCATTCCCAGGCTTCCCCTGGGCACCCCACAATCTTAAAACCTGCACCCTGTTTCCCAGGGGACATCACTGCAACCAGGAGGTTCAATTAATAATCCTAGCTCTTTGGTTGTCCCACAAATAAATGGCTTTTTTTCCTCCACAAATATTTCCTTTCCCAAGTTCCCTTTCAAAAGAAAAAAAAAAAAACAACAAAGAAACAAAACCGCAAACTGGAGAACAAGAGGGAAAAAAGGAGAGGGGGGGAAAGAAAAGAAAGAAACTGTTCTCCTTTCTTTTCCCTGTGTGCAGGGTAATTGATAGGCTCTATCAGAGGTCAGGATTTGCATAAGAATTAAGAGCAGTAAATTAATTTAATATTCCATGCACATCTCCAATTATTCCTGCAGACCTTTGTCTCCACGGCTGGCAGAGAGAAGGTTCAGCTGCTCTTCAACCAAACAACATCTGTGCAGTTAATAATTTGATAAACAGCTCATACAAATAGTTTCTGAATTATCTGCCAACCCAATGACTATTCAGTTTGGAAACACTCGGCGAGGGCTGCGTCAACAGCCAGGGCTTTGGAGTCCTATCCCAGGGATTCGGCTGCACGGGCAGGGAGGGATTCACCCTGCTTTCCCTAAAATATCAGCAGACCCTTGCAACAAAATCCCATCAATAACGGTATGTAAAATAAGTAATTACCAGTAATTAATAAAAGCCTGCCCTCCCCTGTGTGTGCCCACCACCCGGAGACGCTCACTCCTGCTGCGGAGCCGGGCTCCACTCCCCAGCCCCAGGCTCCAGGTGGATTTGTGTGAGTGAGGTCTGTGGCCCCATTAACTGCTCTCGCTGGGTGCAGGATTTACAGCCCTTCAGTTGCTTCCTTCCCTACACAACACCCTGGAAAGGCAAGGTTGCCCTGGAAGTCCTCCTTGCTCCAGTCTCCAAGGAGGAATGGCTGACAGTTGCTCTACTAAATTCAAATTTCAGCCCAAGAAGGACATCCTGATTTTCTCCCAGGGCAATCCAATCTTACAAAACAGAGGTGGCTCCTTCATCCTTCCCAGCATGGAAGCAGAGGTCCAGCTCCAGGCTGGATTAACACCACCACTTTAATTCACCCTCATGGGCTGTATGGGAAGATCTGGTGCTTGGCCAGCCTGGAGCTGGGCAGTTGTCAGTCCCCATCGCTGGAGGGGTTTAAAAGATGTGTAGATATGGCACTCGGGGATCYGGTTTAGTGGTGGCCTTGGCAGCACTGGAGGAASAGCTGGACTCGGTGATCTTAGAGGTCTTTTCCCACCTTAACAATTCCATGATTCCATGTCTGCATGGGCCATGGTTCCTGCAGCACTTGCCTGCCTGACCTTAAATTACAGTGGCAAAGATTTCCCTTGGCAATGCCACTGCTCCTCAGGCATTAAGCATCACTCCAAAATTAACAAAAAGTTGATTTAAAAAAGGTTAGCAAGTTCTCCAAGCTAAAGGAAAGGTTAATGCATCTCTCCATAGTCATGTAACTTTTCCGTTTGCTGTCTTAAAGAGCTGGTTTTTAATCAGCTGCCATTTAAAAAGAGAGTTTACACCGTGAACAGGAATCCAGAAACAGGGACATAAACAGAAGCAATGGGATGAGGTGCCAAATTTGGATGGATGGCTGGGGCTTGATAAACCACTGCAGGCTTATCACAGTGAAAATAACCCCAGACTCCACACTAGGACTGTGGGACAGGCCAAGACCTGGTACCTCCCCTGGGGAAGGGAGATGCCAGGCCCCAGGTGGAGATCCCACATTTGGGATTTGGAGCTCTGAGACTCCATTCCGGCTGTGCCCGTCTGTGCTGTT